CGTTTATTTCTCCACGGTCTTCCGACATTTATTTCATGTTTATGCATCAAGGCATTGATTTGTTTTTGTTATTTCTTTTTATCCTTCTGTTTCATCCAGCCCCTACCCCCATTCTTAAATTTAATTTAAAAGCCCAAACATGACAGATCCTGGAAATAGTTTGCATATTAAAAAGATGCTGATTATCGCAGAGTAGAAACACAAATCTTTAATTTTGTGCATTTTAGACACAGCTACTGCTGTTGCGGCCAGATGCTGGAAATAATTGTGAAATCTGCATATTGAAAGATCTGCTGTTAACAGTGCTTATATGAGATGCGGTGGGGTGGGGTGGTAAATTGGACAACATATTTATCCATGGCACCGTGTCAGGGCTGTTTATGAATATATGAAACGCAGGAGTTCAAAAGCTGAAATGCATTGCTGTACCAGACAGACAAACAGATAAGAACATCTCTATTTTTAATTAAATCTAATGTTTATTTTCTCCAGACAATGTTTTTACGTTGTTGTCTAAAAGGCTATTTTATTTTTTTTGCAACTTTTTGATTTCACAGCTGCTTTAAAGTGGGGTTTTGAAGAAGAATTGGCCTATTTGACTGTTTTGTCAGTGCAAGTTGAGATAAAATGCCGGCCTTTTTGTTTTATCATAAAATGTGGATGCAAGTTGCATCATAGGACCGGTGTACTTATTTAAAATGTCACCAACATGTTTTTAGCCAGAGTCAATGCAGTGGGTGGTTAAACGAGTGCATTCTTAGTTTGTTTGGCTAGCTTACAGTATCATTAGAAGAAATATAATAGCTACTTATGTCGACGTTAAAGTTGTGCTGTAAATCTTCACATCATGTCTCCTGGTAAGTTGGCATTTTGAAAGTGACGGTATATGACCTCATACATTCTCAGACCTCCTACTTGGGGTCCGATCTCAAGGTTAGAGGAGGAAAAAGAACATCTGAGATTAAATGAGAACATCTGAGAAATGTTAATGTTCAGACATTTCTTTTACTGACACAACAGTGCAGTTTGGTAGGACAGTAATTGAGCTACAGCTGAGCGGAATGAATGTCCAACGAAGCCACCGGAGGTTTCTGTATGCTCTCTCGGTCCTCTTATTTAGGGAAGCCAGACTTGCATTTAATGAGGACCAGGCCTGTCTAGAAGCATATAAAAGCAGCAGAAAACCTCAGAACTCTCACCAGTAAATCCACTAACTGCTAAGCAAACCACCCTGTTATCATAGCCTTTCAAGTCCAGAAAAGTGAGGACTGCAGAAAAGTTGTCTACATCAGGGATTGTTGGACTTATAAAACATATATCATAGTTTAATGACAGGGAAAAATGCTGGACAGATGTAACAATAAAACGGTCCAGGTTGCATATCTCGGAAGCACTGTATGGATATGGTCGGAAAGGCCAGCTCTCTCCAAATGGTTCCAGAGCTGCCGTAGTGCCGTAATAACATTTATTGCTTCTTGTTTTTTTATTGCCCATGGTCTGTGTTGCTTTTTATGTGAATTATTGTACACTTAATATTGGCCACTTGAGTTACTATTACGTATATTAATTTTAGGGTTTTCTTAGCTAAGCGTGGATCTAAACGAGAAGTGGGCAAATCATGTAATCAAATAAATCACTGGGAGATAAGCTCATTTTCCTGAAGTGAATTTCTTGACTGAATTACTATGCTGGTATAAAAATCTCATTAGCCATTGTTAAACAAGATTCCGGTTGGTTTATAATGTGAGAGTGGTATGCCACAAAGTTTTATGACGTTCATGGCTAAGTAAGCCAACATTGCAAGCTACTGCATAAGCTAATACTAATTACCTTTGCAGTGTTTCAGCATTCCTATTGTATAGCATCAACACGCCATATTATAAACCTTTGTTCAAAAATGTAGTTTTTAAAAAGGGGACTAGATGAAATCTCTTTGCGTGACATGATTCGGAGTGTCCGTGCGAATAAAAACCTCATTCAGTAAATGCAGGCCTTTTTTTTCCCTTTGGTTTGTCTCTGTCAATCAGATCCTCCACCTGAGAATTAAATTCCCAAGTCAGAATGAATTATAATACTTTGTTCTGAATGAAGAACCCTTCAAATGAAATGGATTTGACGAGTGCTAAGTGGACTTCAGTCCACTGACCTAACTAATTTAAATAGGGGTTTCTATTTCTAGTACCCAATTTGTATTGAACCCATTACATTCCATTTTATTGTAATTATGTATTTGAAGAAATTAATATGGGAATCGTCTCCAAGACCAAGAACTTAAAATTGTTACTTTGATCTTCATTTTTGCCACCCTACATATTTCTGAAATGCATTACAGAGCATTCTATAGAAATTAATTCTGTATATTCAAAACAAAAATCATTCAAATGATAGTTCACCCTAAAATGTACATTTTTGTCATCATTTACTCAGTCATTCCAAACATGCATGACTTTCTTTAATACAATTTGGATTGGTTGCCATTTAATTTCATTTTAAGGACAAAAAATACCAAATCCTTTGTGTTAAAGGATAAGTAAGTAAGTAAGTCATATATTTTTTGAAGTGAACTATCTCTTTAACACACGTATGTTTATACTGTAAGAAGAATGAAAATGTGAAATACACAATTCCACCATGATCATCCATGTGTATTCTCATGCAACTTGTTTGAAGTCTTCTATTAGAAGCCTGATGATTTTGCATGTATTAATATGACTATGACGCGTACGTGTGCGTGTGTACAGCACACAAACACAGCCAGCATCGTCTCCTGCTGCTCACACATCATCACGCTCTCTCTCGTGAGAGGCCAGCCGATTGGCTTTCAAAACGCCACCCTCGGAGAACACCAAAAAACCTTTCCTGAATTTACAGACTTGTCTTTGCCTCCTCTATCTCCTTCAAACATAAAAGAGAGAGTAACAACTAAACAAAGCAAACTCCTCTCTTTCCCCCGTGGCAGCTAGGTTGCAGCAAAGTGAAACCCCTACTGTGTTTAAAAAGGCATAGAGGGAGAGTTGCACTGAATGGCGTTTCTCTATTAGACCCCTTGTACCTCCGTCAAGCGATCTGCTCACGCTCTCTCTCTCTCTCTCTCTCTGATAAAGATCCATCAAGGATACCCCTCTCTCCCCCCATGGAGCTTTTTTTTCTGCACCTTTATGAAATCTATTCTTTAATTACGAGTGCCATCATTTTGTAAGCCTCCTACTTACAAGATAATTTATTTCTTTTTCAAGTGCCCACTTAAAATGTCTTTTTAACATTTTCACCCTGCAGCAGTACGCATTGAATGTAGGAGATTTAATTTGGATCCTCCCTCCCCCTTTTGCTGTACCCATTTCTTCGCCAACCCCCTACACACGTACATGCGTAATGCCCTCTACCACCATCCAATTTCTCTGTTTGTATTCTCTATTGCCAATCCGGGCACTTGTAAGGTTTGGGAGTCTTGAGTAATAGTAAGTTTCTCCTCTCTCTCTCTCTCTGTCTGCATTGAGTGGTTTTGCATATCTCCTCCTCCTCCCTCCCCTTGTTGAGGTACTGCCACTGACCAAATCCGAACACTATAGAGTTGAGAATCCCTACCGAGGCTCTGTGTACTTAGGCCTGCAAAGTGCTCGCAGCCATAACTACCTGAATTGCTTTTAATTGCCTGGCATAGCTGCATCATCTCAGTTGAGAATATGCTGGCTTGGTTCTTGAGGGCAATTGTAAGCGTGAAGGATTGGATTAAGTGGCTATTGAAGTGACTTTAGCTTCTTTTGACAACAAAGACCAAAAAAGAATACTTCACCCCTTCAGTCCCCCCTTAAAGCACTTCGCTACCCCCTTCTTTTTGTCAAGGCGGAAAGGAATACAGTCAACTAATACGATCCCTTCATTTGCAATCGCAAGGAACCGCCAGGCGAAGACTGTTCCCTGCTGTAATTAGTTGTATGCGATACCAATTATTTGGCGCATTTATTAACGCTAATTGTTTGAACACCCTGACATACTGAAAAAAAAAAAAACAATTAAAACGTGTCTGAGGCATAACAGTGGATATTAGTGTGTGATAAAATGTGATAGGAGGAAATTAAGCCATAAACGCACACCTCTATTAGCCCCGACGCAGGGAAATCTGACAGCTTTAAGAAGTAATTTACCAGACAGATTTGTGGTCTTGTCTCAACTTTCTTGTGTTGGGGTATGTAATCTCTCCCAAGTCTCTTTCACATCTCTCTGACTTGGCTCTAAATAGATTTATTCAGCTGTGCTTGCTAAGCCATTGTGAATTAGCATTAGAGAAGGAGCGTTTGCTCTGATGTTGTCGGAGATAACGGCCTCAGGTCAGCAGTGCTTATCCATTAGAGGACTGAAAGGAAAACAAACCGTGTTCCTTCAGTTTGTAAAGATTTGGGAGGGAAATTGAAGTTCAGGCTAAGTACTTGAGATTAGCCAGAGGTTTATTACATGGGTGCAGGCATAAAGAGAGATCAGCAAATAAATGAAAGGCTACAATTCTCTAAAATAGAACACTTTACACAAGTCATTATATTTTTATCTACCTTAAAAACACGTTCTCCGAAATGTTACTGTTAGTGCCTCTAGAAATGTCATTCAATGTAACATAATTTATTTATTATTTAAGTATTTATGATATCATTTCCTGTTTTTTTTTTTGTTTTTTTTCTTAAATGTTGGTTGAGCCACAGACAGTTATTAAATACTAAGCAGTCAAGTTATGTTATGTAAGAATATACCAAACTTGCTAAAGGTTTTCTTTTCAAGAATTTCGTTCCTAAATGGTACTTTTAATCAGGACAGCTACATCAGTATCTCTTTATTTTAAGCCCCCACCCCCCAAAAATGAAAAACACGTTCATCATCATAGACCAGGTGTATTTAAATCATTTGTATGAATTGCATTTTAATGTAAATTGGTAGATGAGACCGAAAGTGAGTGCCATGTCATTGACCCATACTGAAATGTCCATTCTAAAATGCTTGTGTTTTCTCAGGGGGATAAGTCGTCTACTTGTGTCTGCGGTTCCCTGGTGTCAGTCTGGCCAGCGTTCCCACCACACTCCTGGCACCTCTCTGAAGTACATACCACGGCGCGCCGTGCTGTACGTTCCCGGCAACGACGAGAGAAAACTGCAGAAACTGACTTCACTGGACGTGGACTGCGCTGTTCTCGACTGTGAAGATGGAGTCGCCCTTAACAAGAAGGTACCAACCACCCTAACCTCTCATTCTTCCTCCAGCACCTGACTCTGTAGGACATAATCACAAAATCCTCATCATTTAAAGCTCTCTTTTAGCCAGGTGCTGATCCTTAATCACTCCAAAGAAAGCTACCTAAGCGCAATGCTTAAAACAAGCACATTTCCGTCCCATTATGTGTCAATAAAGGCAAAAATGCCCCCCTATCACATTCACTTGAAACAAGGTGCCCACTTCACACTGAGCAAACAGCAGGACTTCAGCAGATGCTGCAGGTTAAAAGCATTCTCGACCCGCCCACACAGCCAGCCAATTGGCCCTGTTTACCTCTCCATGAAATCGTGATTGGAGCAGGAGCTAAAAGGAGAACCGGTGGAAAAGAGTCAGCTAACAAAGGGTTTTAAGTCATGTTAATAAAGATGATTGATATGGCCAGAGGCTATTCCTGCTTGAGTGGGAAAAAGTTTGACAGACAGCCTAAACGGTGACCCCTTAAAAAAAAAAGGTGATGGATCCCAATGTTTTCCACTAATTTCTTTTTTCGCAGCCAAGTGGGGAAAACATTGTTAAGACAGTATCCACTACAGCCAGACAAAATAAGACTAGCTTGATGCTTTCAAGACTATTGTATTGTTTCAGAGCCTTAGTTACAACCTGATACATCTTTGATGGCCTTTAGGTGTCAAAAACGTGCTCAAAGGATCTAGAACATTATGCCTTCATTAACATTTAAGCTGACATATCAATGTTAACGTTGTTTTAGAATGACTAGTATAAAAAGATAAGATTGCTTAGCCAGAATTCAGCTCTTCTGTGAGGTTCTGGCCAGATAATATTATTTCGTCGTGGAATATTAATGCTAGTTGATCTGAGAGGGAAGAAAATGGCATTAGAGAAGGGTCTCGGGTCCCCTCTCGGAGCCAAGCGGGTTTCTTTTTGCTAGCTCATGTTCCTGTCAGGGCTGATAGAATTAACGCTCTCTGTAGTCTCCCAGATAAAAATGCTAATAACTCACTCTGGAAAATAACAATGTACTTCGCGACGAGCCTGAAAAATAATCCCATTGCTTCTCTGCTTTTTGATGGTATAAATCTGTCAAGGCTACAAGCACTTACAATCCTTCGTACAAGACGCAGTCAATTTTAAAGACCATATGTTAGCTTTAAAGAGCTTGGCGTGGAACTAGGAAAGCTGTGATCCATTATTTATTTGCTAGCGCACAACTGCGTAATGTAAAAATGAGTTATTAACTCAATAATAAAACACACTTCGCTCCTCTGCACCCGCTCTTTCACTTCCCACACTCTCAGCTGTTTTCCTTATCCTGGCAATTGAAAATCCATGGGGGTTTGTTTATACCTATAGATGGATATTTTATTTTCCATGCCACTAAATGACACTCCTCCCACAGCTCAGTTACTCTTGTATAAGCCAGTGCCGATGACCGAAACGGAAAGAGTCGCACACATGCACGTGCAGTGCTCAAACACTCAGATTGTCATTATTAAAATAAATAAATAAATAAATAAATAAATGTTATATAGCTCAGCATTGATAGCATCTTTGCTGTACAATTCAAAATGTTAAGTATTTGGAGCTCTTCTTACATTTTATTCAAGAGATGGTTAAAAATAATGGGTGATAAGGGTAAAAAAAGGGTGACATCAGATTGAAAGTGTGTTATTACGGGATAAGCAACAACAACAACAAAAAAAAAAAAATCAATTGGACCACATTGACTGTTAATGTATGGACAGAAAAACCCACTGAGAAATCCTTCAAAATATTTCCAGTACACTTTAGATGAAAGAGTACAAGTATAGAAGAAAATACAGGTTTGGAATGATGAGAAAATGATTGCATCTTTTTTATTTTTTTGGTTAAAATGTCTCTTTAAATGGTGGACTAATTGTTTATTCTGATTATTTTTAAGTACATTGTTCATTTCATACCTAAATTAACAAATTATTTATTGAATACGCATGCTCTGTTCCAAAACCAACATAAAATAGTTTTTCATTTTACACTAAACGTACCCAAAATGTGTGTTGTATTTTTAATATGCTTTTTAGCATATTGTGCTGTTAGCTTAGCAACATGCTAACTGAAATCCATTGTCATTGTTGTCTTCCATGCAGAACACTTGCGTGACAAAAAGTTGCTGCCTATGTAGAGCATTCTAAACTAGTCCCTTATGGGGTTCCCTATAGGCCCCAAGGCCACTCACTATTTTGGAAAATTTAGGAATCATTTAGTCATTCATCATATTTTTGTTGCTGTCATTTTATATACTGTTGAGCTGTAGTAGAATCACATTTAGAGATAAACCATTTGATCGGCTGGTGACCGGAATTGGTCTATTGTCACATGATCGGGGACCGGCCGGTCAGTCTGACATATGCCGATTTTATGCCGGTCAAATGCACTCGGGCGCCACATGATTAACATCGCGCAACATCAGCATCACACGTGCACACGGCACGCACATGTAGAAAAACCTTGTGAATTACGGCCGTTTCACACCGCAAACGTGAGCAGCGAGTATTATTTCCGGCGTGCATGTTGACATAGCTGTCAACATTGAACATTGAAAATAAGGGAGTTTTCCCGGATTCCATCCCCAAAATAAGGGATTTTTTTTTTTTACACGATTCTTACCCACAAACTTTAAAAATAAAGCACTAATCCTTAAAAGTCTAAAGAGTTAATAACTAGCCTAGAAACTAGTGTCATTTAAAGAAAAAAAAATCTACATTTGGATTAGCGGTGTGTTGCTCTTGCCTTTACGACAACAATTTCAACTGTTATCACATCTTCCAAAACCCACAAAATAGGGAAGTGGGCTGTCTGTTTATTTCAATTACATTTACACATTTTGTGTAGTTTTAAAGAGCCTACACTCTAAAAAATGCTGGGTTGTTTTAACCCAATTTTGGGTCAAATATGGACAAACCCGAAATGTTGGGTTAAAAATGTAATGTAAAAATTTAACCCAACGGCTGGGTTAGTCCATATTTGACCCAAAGTTGGGTTAAAACAACCCAGCATTTTTTAGAGTGTATATTTAGCCTGGTGGTGGACCGTCACTCAGAAGACACTCTGTTGTTATTGTAGCCTATCCCATCTTTATATCCTCCTGAGGCCCAGAATGTTTTTTTTTCCAAAAGTTTTTTCTTCTTCTTCGTGTAATCACATTGTTAAGAGCTTAAGAAACAAATGAAAAAAAAAAGAAAAGATATTTTATTCATATGTTATATGACATTAAATTATATATAGGCAAAACTAATGGCAATATAAATCGATTATTATAATTATTATTTGTTTAAATTACATTGATATCTGAATTTATGTAAAAACCTTGACTTTCAAACAACAAAATGTAAAATGTAGGCTATTCGAGTACAAAATGACATATAAACGTCGTTTCCTATTTTTTATTTTTTATTTTTTTGCCTGGAAACGCTTTCAACACGCTTGCATGTCGCGTGAAAAAATAGGCGTCAGTTCTATTTCTAGCACGCACGAGTTTTCTGGAGACGCGCGTCACGCGGGCAGTGTGCAAGCTCTAATCTGTAACATGGGAGCCGAAATAAAAAACGGACACGCCATTGTGTCTCCGGCCAGCGCGCGCCGCCCCATCCGAGGATAAACGACTTCAAGACGAATCAGTCCGAGCTCGTACGTCTCACACAATCAGAGTAAAAATACGGGATATTTTACGGGAAAATACTAAAACGGGAATACAGCGGGAAAAGAGCAAAAATACGTGAGAAACCCGGAAAAAACGGGAGGGTTGACAGCTATGGCATGTTGATCAATCAGTGCATTCACACCGGGAGCAGGAGCAGCACGTGAACGTTGAGCAGGAGCGGTGGTAAAGCGGAGGTTTTGACGCAGAGTCTGTTTTTTGCTGCACTGCTCATGCTCAATTAAAGTGGAAGCACACTTTTGGTGGACAAAATAAATATGATTGTGCACAAATCCAAAATGAACAGAATTTGCATGTCTGGTGTGTTTTAACAAGAACTGGAGTAAATGTCAGTAAAGAAAATTAATTTTCTTTTTGAAATGAACACTTTTTTTTTTTTTTTTGTATATTGGATGTGAAAAGAAGAAAATGGTTCTTCCATAACACTTTAGATGTTTGTGAATTTCACACTCCAGGAGTAATTTATTTAGTCCTATTTTATAGCGATTACTGTTCAAAAGTGTTCTGTAAAATGCTTTTCTAAAGAAAAGAGAGAAAATAAATATTTGTGTGTGCTGTAATTAAAGTGGTTAGAAAAAATTAATTCGGAATCGGCTAAAATACGTATATGCAGGTCAAACTCTGAAAAATCGGAAATCAGAATTGGCCTAGAAATTTGTAATCGGTGCATCTCTAACCACAATAGATGAGGATGATTTCCTAGGCTGAAAGTGACAGAAATGTTTGTTTGTTTTAGTTTGTTGATGATGATTTGATTTTGTCTGTGTGCCAAAAGCATTACCACCCCATCTCTGGGTGTTTTCCTAACAATAAAGTATTTAAAAAAAAAAAATACATGCAATTACATTTTTTTTTTTTTTTTTACATTGTATGCAATCCATTATGACTTAATACACACATGCTTATAGTACATAAACCAATCATACAATTGTCATTTAGAAAAATATATTATTATTATAATATTATAGAACTCAAATGACTGGTTATTTTTCTGCAGTGGATTTGATTTTTTTTTAGCCATTTAAAAGCAAAACATTATTATTCTATTCACTTGACATTTCTGTCCCCTTCACTTCCGAAATGATGGCTGCACACAGCACACACTTAGTATGTATATATATATATATATATATATATATATATATATATATGATTAGGAGGGGTAGGAAGTTGTCCTTTTCTCCCTCTGGCAGGGGCTGATGGCTACACCTGTCTTTTTTCGCTCCGGGGGCGAGTTTGTTTATTTGTGTGTTTTGTGGCAGAGATGCCCTATAGACTGCCGCTCAGTTTGGGGCAT